TTACATTACGAAATTGTTAGTTGTTCCAAATTATTTGTAATACCCAATAGGGAGCGATAGTGAAAGATATATGAAGAGATAGAATAGAAGAAAACTTTTTAATTCCTTAGAAATTTGAAAAACAAAAAACAAAAATACGATTATTAGATTTTTTGACGAACGGGAAAAAAAATAATATATAGACTATTGAACACTTGGGGATAATCGAAATTAAAGGATTATAACTACACACTATTAGACACACCCTGTCACATCATATGGTGGTTGTACTAAAAAAAATGGCATTTCATCCTTTTTTTTTTGGGGGGGGGGGGGGTTGACAAATATATAACATTAGAGTAGCCCAACATGTGAAAGTGTAGTCAAACCACCCGCATGCTTAGACTTGAAGGTGGAGCTGAATTATAATTAAGAATTTTATGATCAGGATTGAGTTTCGATTGACTTCTCAAACCACCCGCATGCTTGAGTTGCTACTTGCAACATTAGTCGTGAAAGCAAAAACAAATATGAGATTAATATTAGAACAATATAATCGTATGAATTGGATTAAAATTAATTATTTAATCTCATTTAAAGTTATACTCGAAACAAATACACCTCTATTGTATACTAACTTTTAGCTACATATCAAAATGCTATTTGCCCTAAGTTTATTTACTTAAATATATTTTTGAGGATGCATTTCAAGCTCCTTTTCATTGTGACTTTTGAGTTGAAGATACAGAGAGATTAATGAAAGAAAGCACAAGTTGGGGGTTTTTTTTGGAAGAAGGGGAAAGAGAGAGTAGGTTTTTTTTTTTTTTTTTGGGGGGGGGGGGGGGGGGGGTTTCAGGGGGGGGGGATTTCGAAGTTCAAACCCACAGTTGCAGTACTGGTTGGAGTCTAGTTTGAAACCATGTGGATTCACAGTGTACAGAGATTGGAGAATGACTGATCAATACAAGTACAATCTGCTGCATAAAGGCCTGTTGACCACATAACTCTGCACTGTAAAATTCAATTGGTAATAATAATAAGAAGGGTAAATTTTATTGACACCCTTAAATTTAAGTCATATTTTATTGATATTCTCTCTAATTTTTAAAATATAATTGCATACCCCCGTCAATTTTTGTTCCCTAAAAGAGTACATAATTTTACTAAATTACCCTTATTAGAACTCTCATTTTATTTATTTACCCTTACTCAAATTAATACAAAAAAAAACTATAAGTTTATCAAATTAACATCAAATTGACTTTTAATTTTGTTTGATTAATATTCAATTTTATCTAATTAATATTTAATTTTATCAAATTAATTCTAAATTAATATTTAAGTTCATCAAATTTGCACCAAATTAACATTAAATTTTATCAAATTAACATCAAAATTTGCCAAATTAACATTCGTATTCATCAAATTAGCATTTAATTCATCCAGTTAATGTTCGATTTTATTAAAATAATACCAAATTAATATTCAATTTCATGAAATTAACACCAAATTAATATTCAATTTTATCAAAATCATATTAAAATTCATCAAATTCAATTTAATCTATTTAACACCAAATTAATTATTAATTTTATCAAATTAATACAAGATTTTATCAAATTAACGTGAAATTGATCTTAAATTTTATAAAATTATCATTTTATTTCAACAAACTAATATTCAATCTTATTAAACCGATATTCAATTTTATGAATTAACCCCAAATCAATATTTAACTTCATTAAATCAACTCTAAATTAACATTTAATTTTATCAATTTAACATCCAATTTATCAAATTAACATCATTTTTTTGATTGAATTTAAATTAACATTCAATTCCATCAAATCAATACTGAATGGTCATTCAATTTTATAAAATTAACATTCAATTTTTTTGAATTTAATGTTTAATTTTATCAAATTAATATTATTTTTTTAAATTATCATTTTGTTTGATACATTGTTTTATAGAAAGCATTCTATTTAATCCAATTAGCATTTAATTTAAATAATATTAAAATGATGTTTACTACTACTTTAAACTTATTAGCATAGATAGCCAATGGTAAATTTGGCAATTCATAAAAGAATAAATTATCATATCACATCAGGGGTAGTTTGTGAAACGTGTATATAAACTTACAGAGATATGCAGTGATATTTTAAAAATTAAAAAAGATGTTAGTAAAATATGATTTAAATTCAAGAAGTGTCAGTAAAATTTATCCTAATAAGAATAAGTGTTCAACTACGATAAAAAAAATAATTTTTTTATAGTCTTTTTTACAAAGGGAGAGGTGAAAGAAAATAACTCAAACCAAGAATTAAGTTTTGGGTCTATTTTTCAACCTAGTATCAAAACAATAACCTTTTCTTTAGTTACAATGTGTGGTGAAAAGACAAATAATTCCAACCAAGATCTACGTTTTGGATCTAGTTGTGAGCATGGTATCTAAAAAACAACTTTAGATATGATAGTCTTTTAAATGAGTAATTGCATAGGTTAAAGACTTTTTAAGAGACGAGACTCCTGTAAATGAGAAGTCTAAATGACCATTTTACACAATATATTATTTTTTGGATTCGTATCACACCATCTACCCCTTCATAGTGTGTTTTCTCTTTTGTTAATGCCCTTCTCTTTTTCTTTGGGCTTATGCCCTTCATTAAGTCATCAGCCACTTCCTTCTTCTCCTTCTTAATCATTTTCTTCTTCTTTAGACTGTTTAAAAACTTCTCCTCTAATGTAAAGATGATGAAGCAGATTCTTTCATGATGAAACCTCCAACATGGCATTATATATTATTGTGCTTATGCTTTTTCTTTAGCTAGAGAGTGTCCATTATTTGTTATAATCAATCCATATGGACTGCCTTCAAACGTTTCAAATTGCTGCATAAAAAGACTATCAACTGCTCTCAAGGTCAAACAAGGACAGGGAACTAACCCATTCTCAACATCTGTCTATAATGAAAACTCTAAAGTCTCTTTCTCTCTCCTCATTTTCTTCTGAGCTAGATAGCTGCGTCCTTGTGGTTATCCATCATGGACCACCTAACATTATATGGAGTTATTTATTATTTTACAGTAATTTTAAAATAAATTTATTGAAATATGATATTTTTTAAATTATTTACTAAACTATAATACTTTAAAAAAAAACAGAATTGTTGATTCCACTTTTAAAGAATTTATTGAACTTTAACAACCTCCTTTTACATCTGACTGAAATAATGAATAATCTTTCTCAGCCAACTATTAAAAGTGGAGTTATTGATCCCACTTTATAATAAAAGTGGAGTCAATAATTTTACTTTTTAAAAAATGTCATAATTTGATAAATAAGTTTAAAAATATGATATTTTGATAAATTTATTTTAAAATTATCATAGAATGATAAATAACTCACATTCTATGCCCCTCCTTAAAAAGTTGAAGCAGACCTAGCCATACATTAAATAGGGTAACCTTCTTTAGCCCACCTCAAATGAAGCAATCTGCACCTATGCCTTTTGATTTTCTCTCTCTTAAGTGTAATCCTACTTACTTTAATGAAGCAAATAAAGTGTAATCCTACTTACACTTTAAAATCTGACCTTATTTGTTGATCTAATAATGCGACTTTCTTTGAAATTATTAGATTAACACCAAATTTTAATGTTTGATGAGATTCATAATCAATTTAAAGATATTATCAAAGTAGATCTTAGCGGATCCAACCCAAGTGATATGTTGTGGGTTTCGGTTCACAAATCCGTCTCTTCAAATTAGTTTCAAGTTTCTCTACAACTTCCATTTTTTCGGTCTATGCTCTTAAAATAAAGTCTGGTATATTAAGTACGATTTTTTTCATTGGTATCGAGATCACACACTAATGTTTATTGAGAATTGCAGATGTTCAACTGGTATGTCATTATCAAATTCATTATGGACTTGGTCAAGTCTCAACCAATGTTCCCTTCTAGAAGAAGTTTCTGTATTTTCCACTTAAAAAACAAACATTTCATGCCAGCTAATCTAATCTACCTTAGTCAAGTAATTTCGTATAGCAACTATAATATTTTCGTCAAAGTCATAAATTAATCAGAGACAAACGAATAGTCTAGAAAACCCAATAATTCTTAGACTATTTTATGTCACACGCACAACATACATAGACCAATTACATAGAGTAACTTAAAAATGTTTTCACGACTCTATCGCCCAAACTCTATCACCAAGTCAATTCGGCTCCACTTAATAGTCACGTATAATAAAAGTTCATTCCACAAACCCAAACATATGTCCACACATGAGTTGATATTTCTGAAAATATTTTTTTCTTCTAAATATCTTGATTTTAAATTACTTTTCCTTATGTACCGTGTTTAACTTATTTTTCATTTTATTATTGCTAATATGAAAAGGTTAATTTGAACTCATGTTGTTCAACACATAGACTAATGCTACTTGAACCTAGTTTGCTGATATAACTATTTATAATTATTGTATTGATAATATGCTCCAATATTTGTTGAGACCCGCAACCAATTACTAATGATTAAGATAGATTAGATCAACAAACTTTTTAGTAAATTAAATCTGAATAGCATTATTGTTAACATAAAAATGTGTTTTGCAAATACCTTTTTATATTAAAAAGTTTTGAATTTAAATGAAGTTTTTGTAAATTTAATAATAGATTAAAGAGTAAATTAAAAACACAATATAAGTGAAATAAAGGTATAAAACAACCTTCAAAACCTTAATTTCTTGAACATCTTGTCAAAAACAAGTTTGGAACACTTAAACAACTCTACATAAACAGAAAAAGAGAAACATTCCTTCTTTGATTGATCAAACACATGCACCAAAAGAAGAAGACCACGACACCAAAAAAAAATTCATACCGTATCTCTAATTTTTATAACTTTTGCCACTTGAACTCTTGATTTAATTCAAAAATTTGGTTAACTTAGTATTACTAAAAAAAACAGATATACATAGTACACATAAATGTTAGACATATATTTACTAGGGTTTGTTTTACAGTTATTTACCGTTAATGATGTCACTCCTCTGAGAAGGACTTCTCCAAAAACCAGTACCATAGAACCTGTCCCACATTTCCTTCTCCAATTCAAGAACATCCTTATCTGATTCCATGGCGGCATTAACAACTAGCTTATCGCCGGCCGGCATCGAAACCGGACGTATTTGGAGCTCCGTTTCATCGCCACCGCACCGTCGTGGTGGCAACCGGCCTTTCTTGATAGTCCGACGGTGGCGCTTCCGCCGGAGAGCCTTGTGGCATAGTCCTGCCGGAAGCTTGTATATGACAAGAAACAAGAGGTTGGCGAGCCCACATGGGCAGCAGCAGCACACGACTGCGCACTCTGCCGTGGTCCCTCCGGCCACCTCCGCCAACCTCCCCCTGGAGGAAGAGTTCTGGCTGTTTAGCAATGGTTGACGGCGGTCCACCGACGACGGTGGTGACTGGAGAACAATTTGTCTGGTCATATTATATGATTATATCCACCCTTTTTCAGTGCCTTCGATTTCTTTGCTTCCAACTCTGCCAATTATATCTTAATTCTTACCCACAAGAAGAAAATTTTTGCCAACCCAGATCAAAAATTGAGATTTAGATTCTGGCCTTGGGGTCTTAAGAAGAAATCCGAACATTAAGGAGAGAGAAAATGGTGGATCGCGGAAGTTCTTCCATGGCTGGTGTGGGTGTTTGGTGGTTGGCCGTGCCGGAATGACACGGCAGACCGATTTGGAGGGGGAGACTTGGTTGATAAACTAGGTTATGGTACAAGTCCCACGTCACAAGGTCCCTCCTAAATGGTACAAGTCTTGGTTGTCAGTGAGTAATATTAAGGATGGTTCTGACTGATTCTTCTGTGGTTCTTTTTCCTCCTATTCTTTTGCCTTCTCTCTCTTTCTTTCTTTTCTTGATATGTATGTCTTGGAGCTAGGTAGAGAAAAGGGTTGAAATGAGCCTGAGAGAGAGAGAGAGAGAGAGAGAGAGAGAGGGGGGGGGGGGGGGAGGATTTTTGGGTTGGGTGAGTGGAATTTAAAGATGGGTAAGTAACGGATGAGGAAAAGTTTACTATATGATGAATTTTATATGAAAAGACATGGATGTATTGAAAATGTGAAACGCATAAGGAGAGAGAAAGGTGATGGCATGGGAGTCAAAGAGGATCTAGAAGACGAAGACAGAAAGGGCATGGAGATTATTCCAGGGAGGCTGCAGGTGAAATGGGACTAATGAATCATGATGAAGTAAAGTCATAAGGGGTGGGGTTGTGTTGGCTAGGAGCCTTCTCCTCTGACTACATGTACATGTGAAAATTGGGTGTGAAACTATTATAACAAGCAAATATGTGGTTAATAATCCCAAGGAAAACAAAAAGAAAAAGGAAAATGCAGAGAGACACAGAAAGAGAGAGACGAGGGGGACTGTGGATTAATTTTGTCTCTGGGCTTTTCCACTGCTCGCTTATGCATTTTGGCTCTATTTTCAAAAGAAGATTTCATGAATCTTATTTAAACACCAATAATAATTTCGTGTTTGAAGATACTTTGTAACATCAAATATTAAATAATAATTGATTTTTTCTTTTATTTTTAAATTATGTAAATTAAAATTAAAGTGAACAGAGAAAAATTAAGATAGAGGTAAGGGAGAGAGAAGAGAGATGTAAGTGTAGATTAATGGGGTTATTTAGCATGAAGTGTGTTGGTTGAATTGTTTGATATTGAGAGCCGTATATGAAAGATAATGTTTTTGACCAGAAAAAGAAATTTGGAGATAAATTTTATACCATTTTATCAAAATAGATAAAAATTTTAACGGTTATTGTACTTTTATAAGTTGAGAATTTAAGTTTTTAACTATAATAATAGATAAATATATAGTTTTTCTGGTGTCGAAAGAATCATTAAAGTATATTTGTTTAGAACTTAATTAGTACATTGGGTTCAGTATTCACCCTTGACTTTCCTAGGATGAATGCAATTAAGTCGTTCTTTTTCTTATGAATAATGTTATGAATATCAGAATAATTATCAAAAATACAATTTTACCATGAGTTGCCCAATTGTTAAAATATTTTTTGATAAAAAATTTGGGCATTCCTAGCGTTTTTCTTCTTTTATATCCTATCAACGAGCTGAATGTGAGTAATAATAGTCAAATTAATAATGCATGGCCTGAGTTCAATTATTTTTTGTCCACAGTAAAAAATTGGTTGATGGTGTCACACTCATGTCGATGTTTACAAGGCGAACACAAACATAAAAACAAACAAAAAGGGCAAGCAAAATTGGACAAGATTTAGTAGATAACTGTTTTATTTCGAACATAAAAGATGCCAAAACAAAAGGGTTTTTCTTGCAATCCCATTCAAGTGTTCCGCAAAAACCAGTAACACTTCTTTCTCAATGTTTCCTTACTTAAGAATTCTTGATTTGTTGTTTTTTGTTGTTTTTTTAGGGGAGGAGAGAGAGAGAGAGAGAGAGATTATGGATTTGGGAGTCTGTTGGTGCCTTGGTGGGCTTCGAAACCCAGTAATTTTCACAGGATGGAGTCCTGATACTGCAGTGGATTTGTAGGCCCTAATCAACAACAACAATGGATAACAATTGTAATTGTTTAGTCAGACAAGGATAAGAGAAGGCAACATTGTTCTAGTGGAGTAAAATTTCCAAGGATTCTCTCCCTTCTCATTCTTAATTAGAACTATTAAACAACAGAGATTATTAGCTCATGTTGGATATCATCAATCTCAAGCTAAAATAAAAAATAACATATAGTTTGGACTCCATTACGGGATTCTAGCCGAGGTCGATAGAATATAAGTCTAACATTTGTCATTGTTTGTACAAAATACTTACCCTCAAATCCAACTCACGCCCTCAAGATTGTTGATTTTTAAATAACGATCCTACGATCCCCTATTTCAAGTCTAAAGGTTAAATATTGTGGTAAATTCTGCTAAACTACTTTCTTTCCCCCTAAAGTGGCATATATATGAGCTAAAAAATGCTTATTTTGGACACTTTTGACACTATTTTAATAACGTATCATTTACCATATTTCATTGCTTATTATCAAGTGCAAAATGTAAATTCCACAAATATTTGGCAAGGAAAATGATGTGGATATGCAATAAGGACACTGCATTTTCGAAGCAATGCATTGTCGGACTGAATTTGGGAATCAAACTACTTAAAATAGAGTACATTCGTCACTTAACTCTGATACGTATGTCTTATTACAGACAAGAACTCTTGTGCACTCGATGTGATCATTATATCTATTGATGAAAGGGAACCATCTACTAGAGATTGTCATTTGATTAATGGAATCATTTGAAGTCCACTTGTGGCCAGGGTATATTTAGACTGTATAATAAAACCAAGAGTTTGAAAACAAAAATAAATAAAAAACTAAACTATTGCCAAAATCCGTTGGGAATCTGAAATGATGTAGAAAATTGAAGCTAGAACCACTATTCTACAGGCTAGTTTCAACAGATAGTTCACAAAGAAGAATACAAGATAATCGCCCAAAAAGAACTAAGCAGACATAATCTTTATAAAATTAGAATAATGATAGTTAACCCTAAAACATATGAATATATCCTTTAAATACTAAACAATAAGCTAAAAACCCTAATTACGCAAGGAATAATTAAATTACAAAAAAATCTAAATAAACTAAAAAATGGAAAAAAAACTTTAGAAGACCCAAACACATGTTTCCAGGCCTTTTTTGGCTTTAAACTGTGCCTCCCACCACCATAGGTTGTGACTCTTGTAGGGCTCGTCGATAGCTTCGATTTGATATATTATGGGCCCCGAAACTCCAAACGGATCAAAAATTATGATCAAAACAGTGTCAACCCTTCTTAAACTTGGATTTCTAATTGTACTGATCTGCTAACTCAAGGTATCTCAACGCCATCCATGTGTCATCTGATAACTCAACATCATTTGACTTGGATATTCCTGCATCAATCACCCGGAGTTGGAAAGAACTCGTCCTTGAGTTCACAGTAGCACCATCGGAATCCATAAAACAAGGATTCAGGTGTTTCACATTAAAGACATCATAAGTCTTCAAATGACTGGGGATGCATAGCCTGTAGACGTTATCATTGATCTTCTATAGTATCTCACATGGTCCAATTTTTCGCTCCTTAAGCTTATTATACTCTCTAATAGGAAAACGATCACGAGTTAATACTGCCCAAACAAAATCACCAACATCAAAAAGTACCTGGCGACAATGACTATTGACTTGAGTCTTGTACTTGGCATTACTCTCGTGCATGGCTAGTTTCACTTGCTCATGGATGCCCCGAAGATGTTCTACCATCTCATTTGCCTTAGAACTCAAACGACCTACATGTGGAATAGGGGCTAAGTCCACCACCCCCGATGGATTCTGACCATAGACAATCTAAAATGGGCTCATTCTTGTAATTCTATTCTTTGATCTATTATAGGCAAATTCTGCTTGAGGTAACGCCAAATCCCACTACTTTGGTTTAGTTCCTGCCAAACACCTCAAAAGGTTGTCCAAACTTCGGTTCAGCACCTTAGTCTGACCATCCGTCTGGGGGTGGTATGCACTGCTGAAATTCAACTGTGACCCTAGTTTCTCCCATAAACTTCTCCAGAAGTGACTCATGAACTTGGTGTCATGATCTGAAGTGATTGATCGAGGAACACCATATAAACGCACAATCTCCCTAAAGTAGGGATGGGCGATTCGGGCAACATTATTATTTTCCTGCAAGCTACAAAATGGGCCATCTTGGAAAACCTGTCAACCACAACCAAAATAGAATCCAAGGCCCGTTGGGTACGGGGTAAGCCTTTCACAAAGTCCATACACATCGAACCAAGGGGCCTCAGGAACAGGTAGGAGTGTACAGGCACGCGTTAGTGAGAACTCCCTTGGACTGCTGACACACATAATAACGCTCCACATAATGAGCCACATCACTGGCCAATTTGGGCCAATAATAGTCAGAAGAGATTAGGGCCAACGTCTTATCTCGCCAAAAGTGACCCTCGTTATGAAGCTCACTAATAATCTGCTGCCTTAGTGAACAATCTGGAATACACAACTGTAATTCGCAAAATAGATAACTATTATGTAAAATAAAATCATGACGTTGACCATAAGTTACCTCCTGAGTTATCCTCCCGAAGGAAGGATCTGCTCCATACATATCAGTGAAAGCCTCAAACCCTGCAACTCTGGTGCTCATGGTGGTGAGAAGTAACGTACGACGGCTCAATGCATCTGCAACAAGATTTAGACTCCTTGCTTGGTGTCTCAACGCAAACATGAACTCCTGCAAGCACGCCACCCACTTGGCATGTCGCTACTCAGCTTGTGTTGGCCATTGATATACTTCAGGGCCTCATGATTAGTGATAAGAATGAACTCCCTCTCTATTAGGTAGTAACGCCAATGCTTCAGGGACTGAACTATAACATAAAACTCTAGATCATAGATGGAGTAATTCTTCTTTGATCCCTATAGCTTCTCACTGAAAAAAGCTATGGGGCGCCCCTCCTGACTTAAAACACCACCAATGCTAACCTAAGATGCATCACAATTTACCCCAAACACCTTTTCAAAATCAGGAAGTGCCAAGATTGGTGCCTCTGTCATCTTCTGCTTGACCAGTTGAAAATTGGCCTCTGCCTCTTTAGACCATTGGAAATCACGTCCCTTGAGACACTCTGTAATAGGGGCAATCAAGGTGCTGAAGTTTCTGATGAACCGACGGTAGAAAGACTCTAATCCATGGAAACTTTTGACATCATGCAAGGTCTTTGGTTTGGGCCACTCCAAGACCGCATATATCTTTGACTGATCTGCATGAACACCATCAGTAGATACAACAAAACCAAGAAAGGTTACAGAAGTAGTGAAGAAAGAACACTTCTTCTGATTGACAAACAGGTGTCCGTCCTCAGCACATCAAAAAC